ACATTCCAGCTAAATGTGAGCTATAGCACAGCATCTCTTAGTGACATAGAGAACCCTACAAAAATAAAAATTCTTTCAAAATTGGTTAGTCTTTCTAAAATTAAACATAAAACTAGCACACTAATGTTAGTAGGATAGTAATAAATATATGTGAGACATGATGCAGTTTATTTGAAAGAGCAATAACTAGTAACATTTGTTGCACCAATTGTCAAGGCAGAAACACAGACCCACAGGAAGACTGAAAAAGGAATGATTTTAGTTTAGTAATCACTAAATATTCCAATCACTTTTCAAAATACCAAGTAAAATATCAAAACATATTTTTTAATTTTCTTAGGAGAAGATAGTAGTCTGCAGATTATACTAATCCACCGTTTACTGTTTTCATCAACATTTTAGTTTTTGAAAGTAAATAATCCAAAAGTCTACTCATGTTTGACTTGTCCACATAGACATTTAGTTTTTACATCGAAAACTATATCCATCAGAACTTACTACTGTCAATATATCAACAGAAGTATTTAGCTCTGACTTAGTCTGGACATTCTTGTTCATTGTAATTATTTGCCAAATACTCTTAATTTTCTTTTATCACAGACTGTGTCACAAATATGCAGCACAATAACAGGAGCAGTTACTCATAACATGGTAGGTAGTAGAGGCCCTAAACAGGCAACTGGAGCCACACTGTGTAAGGCTGCACGTGCAGGAGGAATAAAAAAAAGAAAAGAAAGAAAGGCTTCCAAAGTCCATACAAGCTGCAACATCTCTGTAGCTCTTGCAGTGTCTACAGTTTTGTTTATTAATGTATTCTAGTGGACGAAACCAACTGTAGTTGTATCAACTTACATAATTCAGAATTCAACCACAACCATGTGGCAGGAAGGCTTTCTTATTTTTTAGAAAGAAATTTTGACCATAGGGTTTAGTAACAAATGTCAGGAAAAAATGGGGTTTGAGATGGACCTTCTGCTTACCCAGCTGGATACAGGTGAAAAATTTTAGAATCTATTTCAATCAAAGCAGAATTATATCAATAACCTTTGAAAATGCAGTGTAGTAGTATACATTCACTTCCCCTCAAATTTTAAGACATGCATTTGAAAAGTTGAAAGAAACAGGACTTCAACAAACAGTATTTTAGTATCATCATACCTACTTTTTAGCATTGTTATTTCAGTGCCACATCAGTACCTGATACGTTGGCATGGTTATGCGCGATAAGAACCAAAATACTAATCTCTATAAGGGACGTATTGCTACGTTCCCTGTAGCTGAAATTCACCAAACTGAATTTACTCAATGGCACTGATCACAGTACTTGAGAAGCAGGGTAAGAAAGCTCTCTTGCCTGTTTCAGCAATAGCCTCCTTGACTGTCACATAAGGGGAGGAAGTAAAAGCTGCACAGAAGGATAACAAAGCAAGGTATCAGTGCAGTTAGCAGGTAGAGCAGCCCACTGGTTTTAAACTGACAAATATGGCTGAGTAATTTGAGATGTTTCAGACCCACAGCCCAGAGGATGTCCACCACACCCCCTCTACTGGAAGACTATTGCCATCAGCCCCTTGAGTTCACTGAAGTCTGTCTGCAATCTTCTTTACACAGACTCTTGAATTAAGGTTACACCAGATGAAGGATGGTCATTACATTGTAAGGACAATACTTGGGTTTAAAACTAGAAACACATGCACACAGAATTGGTGGCCATAAGCAGACTAGCATTGAGTCTTGTGCCTTTGTGGGCAAACACAATACAGGTTACCAAGGTACCCTTTAGCCAAGAAAAATGACTACAGATGTCAACAGCATCAATTTAGTGAAACAAATTTTGCAGATAAATTATTTATTTGGATGCCCAATGTTGATTAAAGTGTATTTTTTTCTATTTCTAGCTGTGTAATTGAAATGTAACTAAATCAGTGATGTGCTGTCATCATTTTCCACATCTAAAGAACAGTTCAGAGTATCTGCATAATAGGTCCTAGATGAATGCCAAAATCAAAGTGTTTGTTAACCAGTGGCTTTTGAAATGGGAAGTTTTGATACTGGCATAAAAACACAACTGCTTATATTCACAGAAGTAACAGCTTCATACCTTCCACAGAGAAAAAAAAGGATTTCTAGATGACTCATGTCTAACACAAATCAAGAAAAATAACATTAATTGGTTTACAAATAATAAATAACTAAACCAGAAATAGCACGGAACTGATTTTCCACAACCCAAGGGACACTTTGTGGTATGTTACCATATTTCCTCATTTAAACTTCACACCACAAAGGAGTTTGCTAAACCCTAGGGTTTTGCAAGTGAGCTCTATGAACTTTGAAACTTCCAGAAAGAAGTTTTCAGGAACAAATATTTTCCAATTTACTATAACTTCTCCCCCTCTCAACTCAGAAGAAGTCATTCACTTTTTAGAACAATTCTTTTTTTTAGACTTAACTAAAGAACCATTTTTTTACACACAACAGATGAAACAACTACACGAAAACAGACTGGCACAGATGCCCAACACTTTTTATACAGCTGAGTTTTCCACTGGAATGCTCTCAGCTTTCCATCCATGTTTGTTTCTCTAGTTGCTTTCTGCCTTGATGACCATCATTCACATTCATTGCCTGCAGATTTCCTAAGAGGATGTAAACTAATCACCAAAGTATCCAAAGGAAGCTGAAATTCTCTGAATATTCACTCACGTAGGTAGCTCTTGCATCAACAGTTACTATTTTACAGCTCCCTTCAGTCAAACTACTACAAAAGGGGTGAGTTCCTCAGAGAAGCTCTTCTGCCTTCCCCTCTGCATGAACAGTGAAAAGCTTTCTGCCTGTTCATGGATGCTGGAGCAAAGTACTTCAGAAGTCTGACACATTAGATGTGCATTTATATACTGGCTTTACATTTTCAAGAGTTTATTTTGAGAATGCTAAATTTTTAAGATAATCTTGGAGGAAAACATAATCAATTAAATCTACATAATTTTAAGACTTCTTTACTACAATTTTACAGGATCTCACTGTATGTCTTGACTCCACATGGGGGCCTTGTTTTATAGAGAAGCTGACAATGTATTTACACCACATTCTGAAGTCAATAAAATCTAACAATACATGTTTGAAATTCCCAGTCTTCCAGTACTCCACCTTCTAAGTCCTATTCTGCTGGCATAATACATTACACATATGGTTATCAAATGTTGCTTAACCTCCATGCTAGAAAAGTCAAGACACAATAAAAGGATTGGTGCCCAGAACCTCAGCTGGTGTAAATTATCATAGCAGCAGGGAACTGATGTTACTAAACCGATATACGTAAGCTGAGTAACCAGGCCCTGCTGAAACCTCTTCTATGTTCTATTACTGAAACTCATCATCTAGTCAGTTCACCACACATATGAACATAAGATCTACAGGAAAACTTAGATACTTTATTATATGAAAACCAAGTAATTTCTACAATTCAACATGAAAAAAAAAAGATGATTGAAAGTATTATTTTTCATTCAAATTCAAAATTTTACTACCAAATTTCATCAACACAAATCGGCTTCCTGCCCACTGGGACTAATCTGTTCCAAACAAATACAAAATTCAGATAGATACTTACATTACCAGGCTGGTAACTGGAGAACTTAATGGATGAAATATTTCTTCACTCATTGCTGTTTACTGAACAATTTAGTGGGGATAAAAAAGTGTAACAAAATGTATATCATATCCACTCAAAGGCTTGGTCTCATCAGTGCCTCAACTACTCTGAATTTTTGAAAGACTTTTTCAGGACTAACCAAGTATTACTGCAAGAGGGTGACTGGTGAGGGGTATGAACTAATATAATCTAACTTGCTGAATCCATGTATTAACTGCAAGAAATGGTTCATTCATCTATCCCTAATCTGCATGGACAAGAAATGAAGTAATAATGGGAGATCAGGGTTCCCTATACCCACACTGTGGAAGTTTCACTGAGCTGTGATCCTGAGATTACCTTTTCAGACATCATAAAAATCTGCCTTTTGGAGCAACTGTTTAGAAGATGCAGGAAAGAGAGCCAATTTTGATTGCCACTCCATGAACAACAGACAATTCATGTGTAAATTCAATGTCTTTGGAGAAGAGAAGCCGAAAGTCCGTCACATAGCATTAAGTTTTAAAAAGGGAAACTACATAAAATGAGGAACTTAAAGAAAATTAACTGGGCAGCTAAAAAGGTAAAATGTTTGCAGGTGGCATAGAAAAAAATACCATAATTAGAGGCTCAGAGTATATTTATACTGTTACAGAAGACTTTAAAATAAACAGAAAAGCTTTGAACAGTTGCAGTAAGGAAAAGGATGGCATTAGAGGCAAAAGAAGTCATGTCTAAAAGAAGAAAACAGAAAAAAAAAAAAAGGAAATTCTGGCAAATTAAATAGAAACCACAAATGTTGACCTAGTAACCACGGAGTAGAACTCATTGCTTAAATCACCACTGATGCTAAAAAGTAAACTGAAATCCACTCTAGTTTATGTTAGTGTGCTGGACTGCAAACTGCACAGCCTCTTGAGCTGCTACGTGTACTTTTCTGCTGGTCTTCTTAGTGATTTATAAGATTGTGTGGAGTGGATTGATAGCCACTTAATCTTAAATCAACTAGCTCAATCCACTGTCACTCAGGAGTTAACACTTTCATGCTTTTCCCTAAAAATCTGCTAGAAGTTCCTCATCTGACACCCCACTTGGTGGAAAAGGACCTCCTGTCTGACCAGAGCAGCTGCTGTAACGTGTACAATTGTTAGCCAAAGTCTCATAACATTTATTCCTCCTACAGAGACACTTCACATCATCCTGAAAAGATACTTCACGTGGGTCTGCTTGTATGCTGCTTCGTAACAGTGATCTCATCCATATCTAGAGGGATCCTTGTAATGCACCTATGCATCATAAACACTCCCAAAGCACCTGTACCTCATAGTTATTGATTCCATACAGGATATCTGTTACACAACAGGGAGGGGAATGAAAGTGCCCAGATGATGGGATGGTGATATGCCATGGTCTGGAGCAACCTAGCCACAGAGCTATTTCCAGGTGTGCTAGTTGAGGTCAAACACCACTATCAGCCATAGAAATGCCCTGACATTTTAGTTCTTTGAAGATCCATATTTCACTGCTCACTGAATTCCATGTGCCAAAGCCTGTATCTACAATGCTAAAAATTTGGGATGGATCCATTAAGTATATATTATGATAATGAGAATTATTTGAGTTGCTTTTTTTTTTTTTAATTTTAAAATATGACCTGCAGAAGTAAAATCAAAAGAAAAATCAAGTCTGCGTTCTTCAGCATTTCTGAATGATGCCAGCAATTTCTCTAGACAAGATTTCAAAGCCATCAGAAGCCATTTAGTACAATGCCTCACAAGGACTGGTGAATGCTTTACAAATTAGTGTTCTCGTTTGTACAGCTTTCCAATGTTTTTTTTAAAATTTTTTTAGATTTTGAGTTTTATAAAAGCACATCCAACTGAGCTTTGTACTTAGCTTTGTAAGAGACCTGGATGATATTTTTGGCTCCTAAGTCTTTACAAAGAGGAACACAGTCACTTATAATAATGTACACGGTGCTTTGTGCACTTTTTCATCTTCAGAGGTCACAAGCCACAACACTTTTCACATTGCAAGTGATTGCTGAAAGAAATGTATTTTAAAGAAGATAACTAACTATTCAGAATGAAGAAATAGGATGCCTGGCAAATCAGTATAGCCACACTACTCCAAACAGAGAGCACACAGTTCTGGCAAATACAAATGTGAGATAAGAAAAGAGGGAGTGAGCTAGAGAGTGGGAAGATTTTTAAAATCAATAAGTATTTTGTTTTTACAGATACACAGAGTCATGCTATTATGGGTCTGGGATGATGGATGACAGTGGGATAATAAGATGGATGAGAGTGAGGATAGGCACTTCTGAGGTTGCAGAAGTGCCACTGAGATATGTATGTGGATGGAAGCAAAGATGGGCTTTGAGAAACTACTAGAGTCTATCAGTTCTTTGCACAAGTCTTTACCACAAAACAAGGTACTACAGTGCATTAGTTTTTTGGTTACATTCTGTTCGTTTGTTCAAAAGAAATAGCAAATCTCATGTAGCTGCCAAAAACATATACCTATATACTCAGCCTTTCATGTCTTATTCACTGACGATATTCTGTTTATATAAGCATGTGTTTTTCCTACAATTGAAGACATAGAAATAACATGAGAACAGCAGCAGCATATCTATACAGAGAAAACCAGACTTTCAGATGAAGATTCATACAACCAGCACTGCACTGGAAAAACAAGTCAAGGGTTCACAATTATCCGAGTGAAACAGCATCTCTTCTTGAGTGACAAGTGAAACAATGAGAACAGAGAAGCAGGTACTGTACAAAAATGCATCCAATGAAAGCACAGTAAAATATTTTTCTTTATTATCTACAGCTCTAATTCTTTATCTTATTCCAAAGAATTAATCAGAAGTGAAAATCAGACATCATATTCTTTAAGTTACTGTTCCTATTGCTTTCTTTCTTACCCATTATGTTTTATTAAGTACTTTGGGATGCCACAGATACTGTCTGACAGTTACATATTTAAAGTGTTAGAATATAAAATCCTAAAGAGTAATGCTGAAAATTAGCCTTGGTTAAAGATAGCTATTTGGAGGACATCTAATATTCACATATTTTTTTCCTCCACATACTGCAGAGACACAAAAATGCCAATTTATTGCATGTGAAGACAATTTGCTATGTAAGTGTATTTATTCTTAGCACATCCAAATGTGTTCTTAATCTATATAAAAAGTGACTGATTGAATATAAGATCCATTTTAACTTAGAATAACATGTTTAAATGACTATCATTGCCCTAATCTGTTAACAAAAAACATAGAATGGAACAGATCCAAAGATAATTTTACAAGAAACCTACTAAAAGCTTTTGCTATACCACCAATCTCCTCTCTACTGTCTCACTCAGGTTTGTTTTTGTTACATCTTCAGGTAAATAGCTGGAGATGTAAGGAATACAAGTAACTAGTAGAAACTCAACAGTCAAGAGCTTTAAAAAGAAATCTTTCAAGGCCTTCCAGAATTTTCGTAGTATCATTTTTTTTAATAGTCTGCAGATACTCATGGTTTACTTCAGAATATAACACTACTGACAGAGTATGTTGATTTCAGCAGCAAAATATGCTAGCTTTAACTATAGATTGTGGCTTTAACTAGCAACAAAACCTGAGACAAAAGTATACAAGTGCTGAGATTTTACCCTCCCCAACCCAAAAAAGTTTACCTGTGATGTAGAATGTCAAAATAACCTTTTCAATAATGAGAAGTCCAAAGATCAATCGTTATTATGACATCCTTTCTGCAAATACCATGCTTTCTGTTCAGATAAACAGTATTTTCTAGAGAGGTGCATGTGTGATGATTCATTTGCATGTCTGAACATGTATATAAATCTAGCACTTGAATAAATAACATCTGTATACTTTGCCCACGTCTGCAAAGAAACAAAACACTGTACAGACATGTATTCTTGTATCAACAGCACAGAACAGGATTTCTAAGGGGTTTTGTGGTTGGTTCCCCACATTCATGCTGCCGACACTGTTCCAATTTAAAAGCCAGTATGAACACAAAAGAAAAACCATTCAGCAACAGCTGTGGTTCTACAAGATGTGTGCTCCCATGAGCAGATCAGACGGGAGTCATGCCTATTTCTCTTGTTCCTTACCAGGTACAGAGCACAGTGTACAAATGGAGGATGGTTTGAACCTCCCTTTAGGTCTTTTGCCGAAGGGAGTATTATTCATTATGCAAAATCCACACAGCGGAAATGGAAGCTCAGAACTAACTGCAATTAACCACTTCCTGTTCAAAAGCAGAAACTGCAATAAATACATTTTTGAAAAAGTTAACATAAAATATTGGTAAAGCAAAAAGTGTTCCCAGAGACTAGAGAAGCTATTCACTTTAGGTGAATTTAGGTTTTCCTTTGTACACTACAACTATGGAGTACCTTTACAGTGTCATTGAAAAGCCAGATTATTTCTGAAGAAAAGGACCTGCAGGCAAGTGCTATGTCCTAGTAATGCCCCAATTATCATGACTGTATCAGTGAAAAACAAAAGCAGATATTTGGCAAGTGATTCCTGCAGAAAGGGAAACCCAGCTTCTGCAAGGTGCCAGGCAGCTCCTTCCCTCTATCTCTGCATCTGACTCGCAGTTTTACCAACACTATTACACCTAGAGTAAGCATCTCACTGAAAAGGAAATCATATAGAGAAAATATATAGCTGACATCAACTTTTTATGAGGACAAGAAGCTTAAAAGCAGTTGACTAAAATACCTTAATGCAACAGATTTTTCTAAGCACTCTCCACTCAAAGTATAACCTACCTATTCAAATTTGTTGTCTAATGAAGGTAAAATCACCTCTTTAAAATCTGGGGTTCTGGTGCTCAAGGTAAGTCATAATTCTGCACATTTGCAATTGCTAATTGAGTCTTCTTTACACTAGAAATCACCATATGCTGTTTGCTGACCACTAGTGACAAGTTGAAAGGTTATAATCACTAGCTTTTGCAGAACATACTCGAAATTTGCACCATTTTACCACTTCTTGATAATCAACTATTATACATGACTATAGCTAAAAAGACCTTAACTAAATACTCTTTACCAGGCTAGGAAAGGTTCTACATATGGAAGTTAATGAGTTTAAGTTTGAAACTCACATACAAGAAACAACCAATTCCCTTGTCTGAAACACAGGCTTGTAAAACCCTCAGTTACGTGTAAAATGGTCTGCTACACATGAGTAAGATGATGTTTAAATTACTTATTTGATTAGATGCATTCACAGTGAAAGTGATTCTTTTAAAGCATTGTTTTTAAACTTGATGCAAGTGAACTGTGCAGGATCTAGTTCTATATCATCACAGCCTGTGCAACCCAAAGTAGTACAAAGGCAATAAAACAACAAATAGAATATCTTTCAGCCATAAGCACCAAAAATAAATCTGAGTTGTGATTTTTCTACAGTCTGAAAGTAGCACTGTATCATGGCATTATACCTGACACTTCCAGTTATAATTTAGCACTGTTATTCTGTTATGCCTATTATGCAACAGTTGGCATGAGAACGGTGTAATTAGCAACAGGTTATTGAATATTCCTCAATCTCCAACTCAGGAATGCAGTTTTCTTCTTTACAGTGGTCCAGATTTCAAAGAAAAAGAAACATTTGCAAGGAAGCCATGGATGTGAATTGATATAAAAAAAGCCCAAAGCTAAAAATAGGTTCTTCAGTAACATTTTAGATTTGAATGTTTAGCATGGTCTTATAAATACAGACAGATAGATCATGCCAGAGTTACTGAACAGACCAGAATTTGCAAAGTAATGTTTTATGTCTGCTTCCATAACTGGAAAATGGTTCTATTGTTTTATAGTGAATCAGTGTACTAGCAGTATATTGCTAATAATTCACAGATGCTTTAGTGACTTATAACAGGAAAGGTTTACTTGTTAAGAACTAAAATTCAAAATCTTACTAATGTGACATTTCCAACTGTCTTCTCAAAAAAGAAGTCACGTCCTTACAAGATTAAGCACTAACAATAGTTTTTCAAAAAATTAATACTACAAAGTGTTTTATACATTGCTCCAAAAAAGCTGGAAAACATGCCTTGTTGCCTACTGCAAAACTGTTTTGGAGATGAATCAAATTCTCAGACTTTGAATAAATAAGTATTTGCACATTGTACAGCGGTTTACTGAACATGCAGTGAAGAGTGCCACCAGCCACACTGTTTTATAGTCCAGTTGTAGACAGATTGATAGAAAGGACAGTATCATCATCATGTCAGTCAGACCACAGGCAGTGCAGCAGGAATTGGAGAGGGGAAGTATGGAGAGGTGAGACGAGATCAGCCATACAAAATAGCTTTAGATTACTTACAAGCAATAAAACATTCTGCTTCTAAAGATGTCTAACTCATCACTGCAGAAGTTACTTCATATAAAAAAAATTCCAGTCCAGCTGGTAGTGTATCAGCTTGATGTTTGCCAACTGGAAAGCACAATTCTGCAAAAGGACTTGACAGAGTTTGAAGCAGAGTATATTGAAAAGTGGACAATGCTCAGAAAAATCAAGATGAAAAAGTAACATTTGTCACAGGAAACAAAAAAATGGTTCATTTGTTCCCTTGATAAGAGTTGAAATGTATTAACAGGATCTGTCAGTAAAAATAAAGTATAAATGCAATCAATTGGGTTTAGATTAAAGACAAATGCAGGACAAACAAGTACAACTGGATCCTATAAAAAAAATCCACTGGCTGGTGGTCTGATTAGATCTTCAGCTATTCTTGTAGGAGGGGAGAGAGCAGTTCTGCTCATTTTATAGAAAGCACATGCAAAGACCATAATGCCTCTAGTATGATTCGTATACTCCATCTTTAATTAAAAGTTAACATATGTCAATTTTGTGAATTTTCTGAATTTTACCATAAATGCTAGACAAAACACTAAGTTCTTCCCCTTTTCGCCTTGTTTGTATTCATGGATACAGTATATACAGAGAGAAAGCCAATGGAACTACATTTGAAGTCATATTGTTCTACTAATATAGCCTGGACACTCACAGGTCATATATAAACCCATCCTTACTTCTGTGAACACACTCAGTCATTTACTTTGCACAGTGAATTTTCTGACCTAAAGGGTAAACATGAACTGTTCGATTATTTGTTTTTCATTATCCACAGTATATGATTGATCAGCTAAGTCATTTGGTTTGCCTTCTTCACTGGACAACATTTTAAAGCATGCCACTAACAGACAGATAACCCAATAAACAATACCACTTGTGTTTGTGCACAAATACCCCGGATAACATGCAGCTTCTCATTCTTTATCTTCCTTTCACCACAAACATTCAGAGATAGTAAGTTCACTTTGAGTTATGCAATCAATTCATGCTTGATACAACAATATAGGAAAGATACGGGATTGCACTTTAGCTATCAACTACACATTAGTCTACAAGCAAGAACATCTCAGCTTGTATCATATACAAAGGTAAAGTGACATTATCATTAAAATGGCTGCACAAAAATGCACAGCTGAAGCAAAAGGAGAAATACAATGTCTTCTTAACGTCCTACCCAATACTGTTATGCCTCGTTAAGCACTTCCAACGTCTTGATGGGCTACAAAGAAGTAAAAACACTTGGTCAAGAATTTCCTTTTAAAGAACAGTCCATTTACCTACAACCAGTACCAATCTGCAAAGATACATATACAACCAGTGCAACAGAAACCCATTTCACAGGAAAAAACACCCAAACATTTATGGTCTTACACTTTGATATTGGCACATATCTGCCACTTACACTTTGCAAGACATTGTGATACCACAGCAATACAGACCACGCTCTATCTGATACAGACAAATCCGGAACATTTTGAACCTAGCTTGTACTTAAAGCTGAGGATATTCAGAAGCAAGAAACTGCAAGGAGAAAAATTAGTAGAGAGACATCAAAAAGGACAAAAATAATCCCTTTGTCTACAATTGCTAGCATTAATATATTTTATGACCATGATCCAGGCCATCTTCCTGCAGAAGGAAGCTTGTGCAAAGAAGTGGAGGTCAAGCCTAGAGTGATGCGGTTCACTGAATGACCAAACAGAGGTTTACATATTTGCTTTATGGCTGCTGGCACTGGTTTTGGCCTAGAAGCCTCTAATGAACAAAGAGAGCTCTGATCCTTTCTGGAGCCATTCATACATGATTAAGATCCAACAATACAGCACTTTGATCAACTGAGCTACAGAAAGATTGGATGTTTCCTGAAGGAGTCATTTCGGGTGAAAAGGGAGGAGAAGAAAAGAAAAAGAAAATTTTCCTGATCAGGTCAAACTTACTGAGACAGCGCTCTTCTCACATCTGACACGCATTGTACTCTCTTGAGAGTTTTGAAGCTTTGGAAAGATGACAGATGACTGAGGTATGGAAAAGAGGAATGAACTGTGGTATCACTGTATCAAACTCAAAGAATAAATTTAACTTTTTGAAGATGGAATAAGATTCATTTTCAAGAGAAGGCAACTGAGTTAGCTTATGCAAGGCATATTGCAACAAAGAAGGACATACAAATGTACAACCTTTACAGCAAATTGAATAGCATCTTTCATAGATATGTTTGAAAAGCTTGCAGCACTATAGTAAAAAATACATACTTCTTCATTCTGATGCAGTTGAAAGCAGCAGGAGATACACGGGTAAGTCTATAAAAAAATCCCAGAGAATGAACACCTGGTTCCTTGAAAGTAATCTTTCTATCTTTACACCAATATACTTCACATAACCAAGAGAATTAAAGGCCTGTTTGAAGTTAGAAGAGCATGTTCATGACACACCACTTGCAAGAGTATTTACTTTTTTTCAGCAGACATAAGTATTAAGCACAGGTGATGGATTCAGATCCACAGGAATGAATAGAGGTTGGAATGTCTAGACAACCAGGAAAGCATAACACAGGTGTGACAACTGCTTGACTATCACATTTCAACATTTTCAGTATAAACTAAGTAACTTTCATCATCTGTTGATATAAAAGCAGAAGAGGGGAAACATATTTGGCTTTGTCTACTATGAATATCTACTCCTAATAATTTATTTTGGAAGCTACTTCTCCTTTTCATATTTGAGTTGGATGCTTCCATGTCCACCTGGGGATGGCTCAGCTCTCTGGCTATCCAATACAACAGTTCTCAGTTCGGAAAACAATTTAAATTATTTGTCACTGGTTTAGTGAGATTGCTCATACTTGAATGCTTATGTGCTGACC